TAAAACAGAACAGAACAGAACAGGAACCACCTTTGAGGTCAAAGTCTAAGACTGGTTACACACTACGACTACTACTCCGACTACGAGGGACGAACGGGTGCCGCTATAAGGAGCTTCACCCCTAAAAGTCCGAGCTCTGAATTGTGAGTGTGAGTCGTTCGCCACTGAGCCACGAAGAAGCACCTTAATCAACGTTCAAATGGCAAGCTGTTTATAGCTACCACTTACCGCTGGCGATGGGCATCTAAGGGGAACTACTATCGTGTTTTCAGCATTACTAGCGAGGTGGTGCAATGACTACGCGTCGCCAGATCGTCACGACGCAGCGACACGCGCTCTCATCTCCAACGCGTTTTTTGCCCCACTGAGATGGGACGCCCTGACATGCCTTGGGCTTTAATCAGAACAATTCTCTTGTTAATACCGAGCACACAATAGTCACTTCACTCGTTCCACTGTCTCCGTTTGCGGAAAGGGCGTGCTTTTCAGACACAATGAAGTAACAACTAAGACCCTTATTCGCATTCATCTGTACCTGTGAGTATACGTTTCATGTGTCATTTGTGCGTGAGAAACGCGGAGCGTGTGTCGATCTGCTTGCCATTCTTCACGTGACCCTACAGTTTTTTGCTATTGAGTTCACTTCGCCTTTTCGGCAAAGCTGTGACTTTTTGTAGTGAAAATTGAAAAAGCGTAGCCTATTCTTCGATTTTTTACTGTGTCCAAGTATAAAACGCATATCGTCCTCACTTCTCCTATATTCAGCTGCAAAATCCAGGCATTGGTGCCTCGGTTTCCGGGACTAGGCATATTGAACGTGGACGTCTCGGATACCAAAGACACTCATGATCTAATGAATTACGAGAATGGCAGCCAGCAGTAAAGCTGTAAGCCTCCAAACGCGTTTTCACGCACACCATGAAGTAAAGTGCACATGTTGTAGAAGTCTCGGCTGCTAAACATTTTTCAGATTGACAATTCAGACTACACGACAAAGCACATCATGCACCGGGACTTGGAGGCCGCAACTAGGAGCTTCGCACTTCGTCGGCCTCTTGATGTACGGCCACGAGCATCTGCGTAGAACCACGGCTAGGCATTCGCGCGTGGCAATCTTCAAACCCGCTGACGCGCGTGGCAATCTTCAAACCCCATGATGCGGTGACTTCTCTCACACACATCAAAGACAAATAGTGTGCCGTTAACAATCTCTGGTGGTACAATTCAGACGTACATGCTGACGTGCTTCTAATGAAATTTAGAAAATGGCACAGAACAGAAAAAAATCATGTCGTCCTTGTCGAAAAACTGCTGGTTTTACGAATTTTGAGCATTTCAAAAGCCTTTTCAGAATATTTTAAATAATGCACTTAGACGCCCGTTTTCATAGATTGTGTTTTTTTCGCGCTCCCTTAATTCATTCGTCTCTTTCGATTGTAAAACAGGATTACTTACGATTTTTGCATGTCAGACGAGAGATATCAAGAGTCAATAAAACTTTTCATACTTGTTTTGTGGTTAGAGTGTTTCAAAGTTCCTTTTTTTCTGAAAGAGATTTTATGTACAAGAATTTAATTCAGCCAATAATGTATTTAAAAGCACACTGGGAAAAATATCAGAATACACTTACAGCATTGAGGATGCTTTTTTTGATAGTTTCTAAACATTACAGCGAATGAGGCCTGTGAATCTAAATCACGTCTGAGAATGAGTAACTGGTAATTTGAAATCAGCGCAAGCAATTACATACATGATGACTCTGCATAAAATTTTATGTGCGAAGCGGCTAAATGGCTTCATTTGTCGCATCAACCTCTTCTTTTTTGCAAACACTTGATTAGTATTCTAGTGTATTTGACAAACGCTCCGACCAGGTCTGATGCAGTACTCATACTAAATGAAACCACTGAAAGGCGTTTTCAGACTTTGGGAAATTAGAAAATAAGATATGTGTAAAATAGATAAAAAACTGTGCCTTCTTAGCTACTCCTTAAGCAACATCTGCAATGAACATCAGGTCAATCAGCTCTCGCTGCGTCTTCCATTTGAGACAGCATGCTCAGTGCAATAAACCATGACAAACGAATAAACATTAAAGGGTTGATGCCGCAACAATTGTAGATAGCGCATTCTTTGCTGCAAGCGTTCTTATAGCTCCAGGAAGTATGATGGGCGCCCTAAGATTAACTTATTCTCACTGAATAAATTAACCTGAATGCAGGAACAGCGCAACCTAGAAGTAGTTACTTCGTAACTACGGAAGCAAAACAACAAGAACAGAAAAGAGCGCTGACTTTCAACAAAGATTTAATATCGGAGTGGTGTACATATATAGGCGAAAAATGAGAAAAATGACAAAAATGGGCATGCGTAGAAGGGTGCAGGAACAACTAATGCGATACAATGTCAGCAAAACCCTTGTCGCTTGTTGAATGGGCTGAAAAAACAAATACATATGTTACTTAAAAAAGATCGAGATACGCAATCTCCTTTTGCAACAATGCAACCGATGGGCAACTTACACATTTACCGTCAAACTTGTTTATTTGATAAGCTTCAATTATTTCACGCGTGGCCTGCGAGTTGTGCTTGCTTAATACCTCGCAACGCTCAAAAACTGGCACGCAGCCGCAGTCTCGGCAGTGGATTCCGAGGTGTCCTTGAACTATGTTGTGTACATTGTTATTGTGCTCTCTTAAACGGCCATTATGGCACCTTCCGATTTGCCCTATGTATACCATTCCGCACGAAAGCGGAATGAGATATACGACACCAATAACACAAGGTACAAAGCGCATTCTGTGTTTCACAGTGCATCTTCCTTTAATAGCAGCTGGATTGTTCACCAGCTTACAAAGCTTTGTAAGCTTTCCTGGGGCGGAAAAACATAACAGCGACACCAGCGCGTTTACCGATTTTTTTCAGCTGATGCGACACGTTATGCAGATACGGAACTGCAACATATTTCATGGGAACAAACGCGCTTTGAGGCGGAGATCGCCCTCCTTGATTTTTAATTTGCTTCAAAAGTTTTTCCGCAACAGCAGAAATCAGGGCGCTCGAGTAACCACCGCTTAAGAGGCGCTCTACCTGTGCTTTGAAACTGCACTGCATCGAGTGCGGGCATGACCTCTTGAGAGCGTTTACCAGGCAACTTTTAATGATACCCCTTTTCACCAATTTTGAATGAGCTGAGTGGAAAGGTAAAAGGGGTCTACCACTTCTCGGTGAAAACAGCCAGCACAAATGATTACTTCTAAGACAGAGTGTTAGGTCCAAGAACCTAATGGAATTTCCAGACGGTAACTCATGCGTAAGTTCAAGAGAATACAAGTGCTTCTTAAACAAATCTAGAAGACTAAGGACAACAACTTCAAAAACAGTATCCAAACAATCAATAAATACAATGAAATCATCAACAAACCTACAGACCTTCACAACAAGAGACAAGTTGAGATCTTTTTGAATTTGGCGATCCTTATGCGCGAGAAAGATGTCACTCAAGACTGGTGCCAATGTCACTCAAGACTGGTGCCTTCTACGCATGCCCATTTTTCTCATTTTTCGCCTATATATGTACACCACTCCGATATTAAATCTTTGTTGAAAGTCAGCGCTCTTTTCTGTCCTTGTTTTTTTGCTTCCGTAGTTACGAAGTAACTACTTCTAGGTTGCGCTGTTCCTGTTCAGTTATGTCCTACCAACTTGCCCAAGCTTCCACGCTTCATAAATTAACCTCGCCTTTCTATGTGGTCCAAATTCGGTTTCGGATTCTACACGTCCAACTGGGCTGTGACCTGGCAGTTCAGGTGGCTTGGTCATGTGATCCAAGGTTGTGACTCACGTCGTGGTGGCCATTGTCTGCTCTCACACACATGTGTCACAGGAGCACCTGCGAAACAAACGAGCAGCAGCCACGATGCTTTGCCGGTACGTACGTGGCCAAGGTCTCAGGAGGTGACTCGCCTCATTACAAAGGCGTGCGCATGGGAAGCTGTAAAAAGGCAGCCAATCCCGTAGGCACCTAAGAGGTGGGGGGATGCAAACACAGTCCCCCACATTGATAACAGAGACAGCGCGCTGAGACGTAAGGGGGGGGGGGGAAGTACACCCCATACACTCACGAAAAATAGAGGGGTGCGCTGCGGCGAATCTTTGTTCTACCCAGAAAGGAATAGCTACGCACGCCTATACGTTCACTACGGATCTGGTGTGACACCACTACAGCTTTTGTTGTCCTTCATTTAGAGCTACGACCGTTCTGAACGCACTTGCTATAGGCGTCGGTCGAAAAAAATGAGCATTTAGTCACACTTTGCAGGTGAAATAGCACATATTTTAAATGTTTCATGTGTCCGCCCATTCATGTGAAGTGTCCTTGTACCCAGAAAAAAAAACCCACAAGTTGCTTATTTTAGCCTCGAGTATTGCTGAACCAAGCCATTACAGTCATTTGGTAGGTGGTTGTTTTTATTTTCTGGGAAATTTTCACATAAAGGGCGTCAGCAGCCCTCGAGCTTACCGAGAAGCTATCCTTCCTTAATAACGTCAAATAACTGAAGATGTGGTACAGTCAGACAATAGGGTGAAACAATGCATAGTTTAGCGTACAGCAAGGAAATGGACTACAAAAAAGTAATGTTTTTCCGAAGACGTAAATTAGTGGCAGTTTTCATTAAACTTTTCACTTCAACTGTACTCGGTTATTCAAATTCATTAGAAAGTTTGAAATTTTCATATTCCAATGCTTCTGGTGACAAGAGATGAAACAGCAGAGCCACCAGCCGAGAAAATGTTTCCCTAAAATGTTGCTATTTGAAGCTCAACTGGAGTACATAAAAAAACAATCTCAAGTCTTTTCAGTCCACGCTTCGATGTTAGAGCTCGTACTGTTTCTTCATTTCGTTTCCTTACCGCTCTACATTGCTACCACCGTACAGTTTATTCGTTTCCATGTGTGATGTACCTTAAGGTAATGGGAAATGTGTTTGATGCAGAGATAAAGTATCCACTCGACCAGGTCTACCCGATACATCGAACTCAATGGTGAAATGCGGATACGAGGTAAGCCTAAAATTTCTCCATAGTAGGAATCAGTAGAACATGAAAGAAAAAAAATCACATCATATCCACGAAGTGAATAATTGTGAGTGGGGTGTAGCTTCGAAGGCTTTTATGGGTAAACCGTGAATCATGCGCGGGCCGCATTCATCCGTTCGCCCTTCCGTCTGTCCGTCCATCTAGCGAACACTCCAAGTACCACAATGTCGCATCATTAAATAATATATTCACCATACACAAGTACCGCCATACAGCAGACATTCCATGGACTAAAACGAGAGGTGACTTCTACATACAGGTTTGACTTTCGATTAAGGAAATTTTATTCTTTGCCCTTTCATCGTGCCTATTTCAACGTCACTTTTCTGACGGAAATAAATCATCTAAATCTCGATGGGCCCGGACATAAAACACTTTCATGTGAAAGAGAGAACTTTTTCTACGTAAGTACACCCAAATTCGTTGCAAAGATACAAAAACTCTCCCGAGGACGAAATGTGAGGTCACTTGGAGGCTTTCACACATCAGGGCAGCGGAGATGTCGCTATAATTTAATGCGGAACTCCCGTTTAGATAATGGGATGATACCCTCTTTAGGAAGTAGTTATAGATGCTGAAGAAGTCCAGGAATAGTGTCAAGTAGGCGATGGCCTCGCCATTCTCTTAGAACGTTTTGGGAAAGAACCCGATCGACAATAAAGCTATGCTTACAAATAACTTAGAACAATCCAAGAAGTGACTCTCCAGGTGTTTATGCAAGTTTTCTGTTGCCGCAGTAAGTTATCGTACTCTATTACTTTTGTCTTTGCAGTGTTATATTAGAAATGATGATGTTTCGGTCGGCTGTCCCGAGCCTTGCGTGTGCATAAGCACAAGATTCGAAGAAAATATTTACAGAGGAGTGGGACATTGCTGGTATATGTTTCGGAGAAATACAACGCATTAAACTAGAGAGATCCCAGAAGCTCAGGTAAAAACACTTTCTCATAGTCAGTGGCAGTTATATGTTTTAAAAGTTTGTGCCTAATGAAAAACTGAGTGTTATGTTAAATATAGGGGGAGGAATGTTAATTTTCAGTGGAGGAATCAGAAATGTGCCCTTTATATCTGAAACATTAGATACTGTGCCAATTATATGATAATGTTAGTGTAAATGTTACTGATTGCCCAGAGCACCATAAAGTCGCACAATACCAAAATACAGCGTTGCTTTCCTATACTAGAAATGATAAGAAGACCCTTGTTTTATACTGTCTTTTAATTCAAAAGATATATAACCTGAGGGGTTCCGCATTACGATTGAAAAATAATTATTGTCACTTGCGCTTTCAAATACATCACTTATCCGATTAGTGCTCCTCTATATTTTGTTTACAGGCCTCGGCCAAAGCACTGAGAGGAACTTCTGCAGAATAAGGGTGTCTTCTTGAAAAATGACAGTCTACACACAAATAGAAATAAATGAATGAAACTCCGCGCATTTCGAGGAAGTCAATGACAACAAGTGCGTGAAGCACTGGGTGTTTTTCAGTGTTGTGGTTAATCACCCATGGGGCCATGAAATTGCCACGCAAGTGAATGAGTCTGCACCTCCAGAAGACAACACTTCTGGCGTTTACTACGGAAGGTTTATTCAGCCAGTACATGAAAACACTAGCAACACTCTTGCACCGAAAACAACAAAATCATGTGAGTATAAGCTATAAAACGCCGCACGTGATATCACACAGACTTCAATAATCCACTAGGTGCTGCTTAAAAACTACGAAAAAAATTGGCAGATTCCACAAACAGTGGGAATGAATGATATGCGAAGCACGACTGAGGAAGGTTGATGTCACTTTAATATCAGCACAACGTTACGAAGCGGACGTGAATAATGCCTTACATGACTTCTATGTCATGATTAGAAGGTATGTACGTGTCATTTACCTTCGTCGTCCATTCGCGTCACGTAATACTGAATTTGGTATATGTAAATCTAGCGAAACGGCTGTGAGCGGATTATGAGCGTGGCATGTAGTCATGTTGTTACATCAGACGCGTCTCACGATTATCATGCTTGCACCTGTCACATATATTCTTCATTTATTCACGTCTCCTAATAATAACTTTAGTATATTTGAGGCCAGCGAAACGGCCAAGAGCTCCTCATGAGGGTGGCATGTAGTCACGTTGTTCAATGGCACACAACTCTTGATTATCATGTTTGCACCAGTCACATACCTTCATCATTTATTCACGCCCTGTAATACAAAATTTTGTATATGTGAAACTAGTTGAACGGCCGTAAAGACATCATAAGCGCGGCAGGTAGTCATGTTGTTACATGACAAGCATATCACTATTATCATGTTTGGACGCGTCATTTACCTTCGTTGTCCGTTCGCGTCAGAGAATACCAAATTTGGTATATATGACGCTAGCGAAATGGCCACGAGCGCATCATGAGCGTAGAATGTAGTCATGTTGCTACATGACACGAATGTCATAATTTTCTTGTTAGAGTCTGTCGCTTGTGTTCACCATGCAATCATGTCATACCATAACAGATTTGCAACATTCCATGTGAACAAAACCACCGCAAGAGCTGCAGGACCACGAAATGTAAATCATGACATTCATGACATACAAGTCATGAGTTTAATATTATGACTAGTCAAATATGTTCTTCATACAGTCATGTTAAGCCATACCAAGTTTGGTATCGATACCATTAGCATAACGGTCAGGAGACCTAAAAGTCGTGGGTGTCTGGATAGATATTTATCTAGATAGATAGATAGATAGATAGATAGATAGATAGATAGATAGATAGATAGATAGATAGATAGATAGATACATAGATAGATAGGTAGATAGATAGATAGATAGATACGCTAATTGTCGCCGAAGTTCGCTATATTACTTCAACTAAGAAATACTCCGCATTTAAAATAAAACATCTCACAAGTATGGAACAAGAATGCTCCAGAAAAGACAATGAAAACGACGAATGATATATTTCACGAATTGTCGTTGTTTCGTCTTGGCAGCAGCCGATTCTTTCTCTGTTCGTATATCTTCTAAAAACATTTATTCGTTATGTACTCTGACCCCATGCCAACAATATCTTTAAATGAACTGAAGAGACAAAGAAAAAAAAGTGGCGTTTAGCCGCCGCTTGCTGCGCCCCAAAGCCGCGTAGTTTATTGGTGTTGCCGCTTGGATAAATGCCAGTGTTCTTACATTGTTGTAGCCTTTTATTTTATTTATTCTTACCAACTCTTTTTAGCCCTTTTGTTGTTCACAGATGTTTGAGTTTGCTCGCGTGCAGCTGCGCTTCATGTAATGTAGACTCCAAACCATGTTCTATGCAAGAAGCGATAATCTCAGGTCTTAAGACGCCTTGAAACTCTATTCAATGTGCGGCAGTCTCGCTCGGGTGGAGCGACAGAAAAAAAAAAACGATTAACTACTGTTTTGTCGCACATCCTCAATTGATGATGATGGTGGTCTTCAGGTGTTGGCTCAAAATCGCCGGATCAGGACGTCATCTTTCCCAGACAGCACGCCAGCATTAGATCAATCTCAGTCCTAGGTTTGCAAACACTGCCAGAAATATCGATCCTACGTTTACTTTTGGAGCTTCGCTACATCTAAGTGTGCATTGATTGAATATTGGAATAGAATGAATGCCCAGTGTTTGCAAAAATGGCGTCAGCCAATATTGTGACTTCAACTTGTCGCGAATAGTGGCAAAAATGAAATTGGCTTTTACACAGTTCTTGAGCATGGTCAGTGCTGCCGATCGGTAGTCGAGGTTCACGAGAACACACCAACTAATTTTAATAGGACACCACGAGGCCCAATACAAACCATGTATTCTCAAAGTCAGCGCAAATCGCTTTCTCTTTTCTGAAAAAATACCGCTGCAAGCTACAAAATCACTTGTCTTAGCCATTGTATCTACCAGTGGCTGATTTGATTATGGCGCGCTTGGTTGTCACTCAGGCCGCTGCGGAGGCTGCAACTTGTCGAACACGTGTGCACGTGATCGCACTCAAAAATCACGCATTTGAAAAAAAAATGCTTCCGCGGCAATATGTGCAAGGCTGTCAGCGAGCACGATGTTTTGTGCTGGCTTGGCAACTTGAAAGAGAAGTTCGGTCGGTTTAAATCAAAACAGAACTTTTTTTGATGAAAATAAAAATGCAATGCATATTTGGACCGATAGCCTTAACTTGATGGTGACCTGTCCAATACAATGTGCATAGAGAAGTACAGATCAGCTTTAAAGGCAAAAAAGAAAAACAATCTATCGCGTAAGTACAGGCATTACGCGTATGCAGAGCTTACAGCTGCCGCAGTTTGACGCCAATGTAGTCTATATAACAGGAAAAAAACATTATGTTTCAGACTGACTTTCATCGGTTAAGCTCCGCCTAACGACAACGCACATGGTGTTTTTTATAGCCTATAAATGCCAGTAACTTCACGAGATACCCGATGGTCAATGCGATGACTCGTTCTAGGTGGTCTTTTGATTTTACCAACATGGACAATTTCGTCCAAAACGCCGACATGAAAATTCACAGTGAGAGAAGAAGAAACTCAAGGTTGTCCTTGGCCAGAGCACTGAAAGACTAGAAAGTGTAATAAGTTATGCTAGCGGGTCGCTGTCAGAGGCAGAAGCCTACTATTCCACAACAGGAAGTGTGGCTCACCGTCATCTTACCTACATCGCCGTTCAGCTCCTATACCTCAACAGCTGATGCTTCAAAGTTGTGAGGGACAACTTCGCCTAATAGTGGCTCACAATAATCATGAACCCTTCAGGCCACCTCACATGGCGGGGCTAAGACACAAAGAACTCATCATTGCCATCGTTTTACAAGTCCGCAAAAAAAGAAAACTCTGAGGCCGACAGCCTGTGTAGTGTCCTCGTCAACCCAACACCGCAGGACGACCAGCATGAAGACTGATTCTTGGGTATATACTCGATTACCTGCTGGTGATGCTAAACGACAGCAATCCAACCGGATACTTGTGGCCTTATAAAATACCTCTTATTCATAAACACTGTAATTCGGAACGTAGTCAAGTGGCCATTGGCGTCGTTTCTAAAGAAATGGCGTTTTTCCTAAAACTGCTCACCATTTGAAACCAAGTATCTCCTCGTATGCCTTTTCAATGATCCGACTGCAGAACACAGCAGCAAAAACACTACTGACCGTGCCTGGCCGCTGATGCCGCTCACGGCGCATACAGATGCCAATACTGAATGACGCCACACATCACCCACAAGACCGGGAGGCTTTTCTCAGCCGACCGCAAGGAATGCACCTCCAAGGGCCGTTCAAAACGTCTAATTGCGGAAATAAATGAACCAACGTAACCAGACTACCAGTGACATAGGCAGAATTTTGGGGGGAAAAGCTCCTTAGAGTGGAAGCTTGTTCATTGGCGTTGGCACTGCGTGCCGCAGCCACCACTGGCGATGACAATGATGTTGACGGTGATTAACAACAGGTACGTTCCAGTCTATTCTTGTTGGATTGCGCCTCCAACAGCTACCACTTGCCTATAATGTTCAAAATTGTATGCCTTATAACGCCAACACGCACTTTCAGACTCGAGTAGTATTTATTAGAAACAAATTTAAAAAATACCTAAACCTGCTTTGGACATTCATTGCAAAAAAAAGAAGATACTAGAGCTATCACATTATGTGTACCAATAAAAATTACGTATAAAAAAGCAGAATTTTTTAATTAACCAGCAAAGAGCACTACTCAAAGCGTGTGGTGCCTTTCCGAATGTGCTCGGGATTTCCACTGAAGAAAAGCAGCTTGTGAAAAATTTATATATAACCCGTGCTCCCAAAATTAATCATATTACAGGCTTAAACTGCAACTATAGATACACATTTTTTTAGCTAAAGAGGGATATAATACAAATCCTACGATTTCCTCTCCTAGGAACAGAAATGTCCCGCGTAGGTTCATGACACTAAAGAAGATTCAGCCATCAGCTACTAATATAGAATGAGAAATGGTATCGTTAGAAGAAAAAAAGAAATTTTATAAAGCATAGCTGAAGGCCTGAAGTGTGATTTTGCATAAACCGAAACGTACTGTTATGGTGTAATGTGGGCCCAGGATCCGGAATAAATCAACCGGCAGTCAGGTGACTCTGTACACACAACACAGACTTTAACACAACCGATAACTCTTACAATTCACACACAACACACTATAGCGCTCCTTATTTACATGCCAAACGTCCTACGCGCCTCGGCACACGAACTGTCCTACTCGCCGTTATGACTGTTGCCGCTGCGGCGAGGTCGGTCGTCACCGGTGTTCCTTGTGCAGTCACGCTGCCTTGACCGTGGTGAGGTGGTGGTGGTGGTGATGGTGGTGCTGCAGGCCGGTAGATCACCAGGCCACTGCAGTGCAGGTTAATGGCCCGTCGCCAACATGAGCCGCGGCCACCTCGTGCCACCACTCGGGCCCCAGGGCCTCAGGCCACGAACCGACTATGCTGCCGGTCCCTGTGTCAGCGCCGTCCACAG